AGGCCTGGCCCCGGGCCCCCCTCCAGCTCCACTCGCAGGCCTGCGTTTGGCAAGCTGGTGTCCTTTATATGATAAGGAATAACGGAGAATATAGCTCTACATTTAGGAAGTCAGTCTCAGCCCAGCCGGCTTGGCTCAGTGGTTGAGCGTCGACCTTTGAACTAGGAGGTCACGGTTCGATTCCCAGTCGGTCTGGGCACATGCCTGGGTTGTGGGTTGGATCCCTAGTGTGGGGCCTGCAGGAAGCAGCCAATCAATAATTCTCTCATCATTGATGTATCTCTCTCTCTCTCTCTCTCTCTCCTCCCTTTGTCTCTGAAATCATCAAAAACATTTTTTTTTAAAAAAAAGGCAGGTGGACACTTGGCCTCAGGCCTGACTTTGAGCCCAGAGAGGGGGCCCCGCTGCCCCGGGAGCCCAGGCATGGTTTCCGTGTCCCGAACCTGGCCAGACCTCCGGGGTCTGCACAGCACACCAGACCTGCGGCCTTCCACTCCAGCTCCAGGCCCCCGCACTCCCGCCCAGGACTTCCCAGCACCAGGGCTGCCCACACCCTCCTGCCTGGTGTCCCCCAGGGGCAGCACCTGTGCAGAAGTCTGTCTCCTTAAACTCGGAGTCCCTCACATAATGGGCATGAGGAGAAAACAGGTCTTCATTGATCCGCTAATTCCATACCTTTTATTTTTTTTTAAATATATTTTATTGATTTTTTACAGAGAGGAAGGGAGAGGGATAGAGAGTTAGAAACATCGATGAGAGAGAAACATTGATCAGCTGCCTCCTGCACACCCGCTACTGGGGATGTGCCCGCAACCAAGGTACATGCCCTTGACCGGAATCGAACCTGGGACCCTTCAGTCCGCAGGCCGGCGCTCCATCCACTGAGCCAAACCGGTTAGGGCTAATTCCACACCTTTTAAAAAATATTTTTTGTCCTGGGCAGTTTGGCCCAGTGCATAGAGCATCGGCCTGCGGACCAAAGGGTCCCGGGTTCGATTCTGGTCTAGGGCACATTCCTGGGTTGCGGGTTCGATCCCCAGTATGGGGTGTGCAGGAAGCAGCCGATTAATGATTCTCTCTCATCATGGATGTTTCTATCTCTCCCTTTCTCTCTGAAATCAATACAAATATTTTTTTAAATGTGTTTTTATTGATTTTAGAAAGAGAGGGAAGAAGAGGAAAGGAGGGAGGGAGAGATATCAGTCTGCTGCCTCCCGTACTGGGGAACGAACCCCAACCCGGGCATGTGCCCTGACCTGGAACGGAACTGGCGGCCTTTTGGTGCACAACACGATGCTCAACCAACTGAGCCGCACCAGCCGGGGCCACACCTTGTTTTATTGACGCAGAAATGCTGAGGAGCCCAAATCTAACTGGCCTGAGGAGCACGTGCAGGGCTTGACCAGATGAGGAAGGCCAACATTAGATCTAGTTTCATGCACCGGATGGAGGGCCTCAACCCAAAATCAGTTGAGAGATGATTCCTCAAACGTGGATTTAGGAGGATGGACATGTAAAACTCTACCTTGAAAAGGAATAGATTTGCCCGCCAGCATGGCTCAGTGGTTGGGCGCTGACCTGTGAGCCAGGAGGCCACAGTTAGATTCCCTGTCAGGGCACATGCCTGGGTTATGGGCTCGATCCCCAGTGTGGGGCGTGCAGGAGGCAGCCGATCCATGATTCTCATCTCTGATGTTTCTCTTTCTCTCTCTCTCTCTCTCTCTCTCTCTCTCTCGCTCTCTCCCTCTCCCTCTCCCTCTCCCTCTCCCTTCTTCTCTAAAATCAATAAAAAAATTCTTTTAAAAAGGAAATGAATAGGTTTTATCCCTAGACATAAAGGATGGATGTGGAACAGAGGGAGTCTTCATTGGGTTTGTTAAAGCTGTAAGGCCATAGAGCAGTTATAAAGGCAAAAACTTGCCTGACTCTATTTATGCTTCTATTTACGGGAACATTAGAAGGAACTCCCAGGAGTCCCTGTGTTTTGTTTTGTTTTTCAAATATATTTTTATTGACTTCAGAGAGGAAGGGAGAGGGAGAGAGAGAACAGAAACATCAACGATGAGAGGGAACCATTGATCGGTTGCCTCCTGCACGCCTCACACACATGTGCCCTGACCGGGAATTGAACGGTGACCTCCTGGTTCACAGGTCGATGCCAACCACTGAGCCCCACTGGGGAGGGCAGCGGCAGGTGTTTTAATGAGAACACAGTGGACGGGGTCGCCCCGGGGAACCCTACCCCTGCCCAGAAGAGCTCAGCCCTTCCAGAGAATGGGGTCAGGAGCCCCCACCTCAGCATCCTCACTTCTAGGAGCAGGTGCAACTTCCACGGGCGTCCTGTTCGTTTTCATGGATGTTGGGAGACACGTTTTCAGCCCAGAGAAAAAAGCAGCGGGCACACCGCTGTGCACTTGGTTTTCCTGAACTGTCCCCTCTCCCCAGCAGGAGGCTGAGGACTAGCAACTGGCCTGGGGCTGTCGCCGTGGAAATGGCTCCCGCTGGAGGGAGTCCTGCGCTGGCTGCACCTCCCACTGGTGGACACCTCCCTGGCCGAGGCCGGGGGCTCCAGACCCCAAACACTTTCTGGCCTCCTCACAGACGGCTTTTGTCCAAGAGCTGACGAGCTGGCCCTGCCGGTGGCTCAGTGGTTAGAGCGCTCTCCTGCGGACTGAAGGGTCCCAGGTTCAACTCCGGGCAAGAGCACATGCCTGGGTTTGTTGGGCTTGATCCCCAGTAGGGGGCGTGCAGGAGGCAGCAGGTCATCATTGATGTTTCTACTCTACTCTGTTTTTTTTTTTTTTTTTAATTTTTTAAAAAGAGCTCACAAGCTGGAGAGCCATTCCCCAGCCACACGCGAGCCCTGGGCAGCGGGGACGACCCCACGGAGGATGAACGGACGTGCGGCCCCTGTGAGCGCCCGGATCGCTCATCCAATGGGGGACGTCAGCAGCATGGGCACAGCTGTGCAAACAGCGCTCAGGCGGGTGCCCCAGGCGCCAAAGGAGCCTCCCCTTGGGGTCCGTCCGTCCCAGTGGCAGGACCCTCCCAGCCCGGCCCAC